TATATATATACATATATATATATGCTAGCCAAGAAGTCGCAAAATTAGCCCAAAGCAAGTAGCAATAAAAATACATATAATGTATATATGTGTATATATGTATATGTATATATGTTTATGCATATATATTTTTTTTTTTTATTGCTACTTGCTTCGAGCTAATTTTGCGACTTTTTGGCTAGCATTCAGCTGCTTTTGCTATTCTTTAAACAGGAAGCTTTAGATTATTTTATGTAATTATCCATATATATAAATATACGTTCACCTCTAATTCTAATCTTTAACACTATGGGGGGCTAAAGCCAACCTTTTACACTCGTTGATTTACCAGGAATCAGCCATCAAAGCTTTTGTGTGTGCTAACTATTGTTTATATTTGGGCTGATTTCCACCTATTTTAAGCTCAAATTTAGCATGTAGCATCTATCTTCAAACTATTATTGGCAAAATATTGCAAGTCCTGCGCTAGCTTAAAGATATTTTATTTATCCTTAATTAACTTCTGTGGCTGTTTTTGTTCTCCTTTTTATTTATTTTTTTTATTGTCTGGCAGGCGTTGGTGAAAACCTCTATAACAACAACAGGCTGTTCTTGGCAAAAGACATGGGAATTCTGTGTGCTTCCAAAACCCGGCTGGACAATTTCCACGTGCAAAGCACTGCTTTTTAAGCAGTTGTCATGTTAGCTTTCAAACGGATATTTTTAGGGAGTTTCTTAAAATATATTCCCTGGATTTGCCAGATACGGAGGCTACCGTAAAAAACAGGTTTTCACATCTTTTTTTTTTTCTTCTTGTAGTTCAAAAAAAGCCTATTTTTGGGGGGTTAGCTTCTACATCAACAAAAAAAAACATTAAATAAAAATTCATTAGAGAATATAATGAAATAAATTTTACTTATTTGTCTTACTGCACACTCATGGGGGGGGGGGGCAAAAGTTGTGAAGTCAACACACTACAGTACACAGTAGAGTCGTGAACTGAGGACGAGATGTTTGTGAAATGTCATCATGTTATTGTTCCGCCTGCGGTCGGTCGTCGGTCGGTCGTCGGTCGTCGACGGCTCTGCTCGGAGCAGGATCTCAGCAACTCAAATGTTTTTTTGTTTTTTTTTTACCCTGAAACAAATATTTCCCCGCTCCAGTCATTAAATTAAATTTATGACAAGCTCGGTCCACTCCAAAGAGCTGGTTTTATAATGAGATCCCATAAACAAAAGCGTCAGTTTCACCTTGAATCCATTAACATTCTGCAGCGGAGGAGAACTCCAGAGGAGGAGGAGGAGGAGGAGGAGGAGG